CCACCCACCTCCACAAAGGGAGGGCCCTGCCAGCACCCACGGTACCTACTAACGGGACCTCTGCAACCTTCCTCGTCCTTCCCCTCGCTTGCCTGCCCGTGTTTCGCTGCTGTCAGCCAGTCATCGAGCGCCCCAGGACAGGGCTCGGTGGCCATACATGGTGCGGGAGCATGAAGGGGGCCTCCTGCTGCCATGGCAGAAGAAGGGGGGTTATCGGGCACCCTGCACAGCACCGATAACACCGAGCGCTGCGAGGCTGCTGCAGCTGCTGCGCTGGATTAGTGCCGATAAGAAAGGGGCCCTCGACAGAGCAGGAACTCAGCTAGCTGATGGACGCAGATCCCCGGCGCGCTGCTATTCAGCCTCTCCGGAGCCTGACCTGATTCAGACGCAGCCTCCATCCCAGCGCACCCCAGCTGCCCGAGACAGCAGGGAGGCAGCTCAGCTGCCCCAGGCCGGCTCCACAGTGAACCAGGGTCCCCCAGATCCTGCCACAATCCCTCATCCCAGTTGGTGCTGTGAAGGTGCCCAAGAAGGGGCAAAGAGAAGGTGGCCCCGGCCACACTTTGCTCTGTGGCTCCTTTGGGAGCCAACTCCTGTCGTGCCCGCAGAGGAAGCAGCCTCCACCACTGTGCTCGGCCCTAAACGTGTTTCCAGAGCCCCATTTATGCCTCATAACAAGTTGGGGCCCCGTGATAATTCACGTCCTTCCCTCCCCTTCCATGTCCTGTCGTTTTGAAGTCGACGTGCTCTGTCTGAACACTGGAGGGTTTAACCTTGCCTGCCTGCAGCTGCCGCTGCCATTGTGTAGAGCAGGGCTGCGCTGCCACGCCATGCTGGAGCGTGCCGCTGGCTCCCCGAGCCCCAGCAAGCCCCCTTGCCTGCTGAGGCACATAATTCTGCATAATTACCAGGTCTTAGAAAGATGCACAAAGAACCCAACAGCTGGTGGTACAGTACCTTCTAGTTGCACGTTTTCTATGTCCTTTATCTATTTACTGCCAAGGCTGCCAGCACAAAATCAGTGTCATTACCCGATACGAGGGTGCTGAATATTCACAAGGAGATGCAATACAGCACGTGCCATTGCTAGATGAACAGTATTAATTTGGCCTTGTCGCATATTAATGATGCCTTTACCTTTTGAACAAATCATTCATCAGTTTCTTACTGTTTATTTTGCCGTTATTTGACTGCTACTATAGCAGCAGCTCAGCGACATCCCCTGGAGAACATACTGGGGCCATTTCACACTATTTGCAAACCCTGCCCTGAGTGCCACCACCCCAGCTGGGGCACGTGGGGACCCCCTACCGGGGGTCTGACCTGACGGCCACGATAGCCAGAGCAGCTTCGAAAAAGGCAGGAGCAGCGTTGCTGGCTGCCTGGGTGCGTTTTGCCAGCACTGGCAGAAGCAAACATCTCCCAAGCAGCTCTGGCACCCACCGAAGGCTTCGCTCCCCTCTCCCACAGCCGCCTGAGGCAGCGGGCCAGCACTGGGGCCCCACGCAGCCACAGACCTTGCTTCCAGTCCTCTGCTCAGCTTTTGGCTTCTCGCGCTTAGTGCAGCAGAGTTCGCTTTTTCGCCGAGCCAAGCACACAGCACACATATGTTCTTTGTTTTTCTAACTCAATTCCTAAAAAAATCACACGCTTCCACACACTAGAACTTATCTCTGCACGAGTTAACCATCAGGATTGCTCAAAAAACAAACACAGCATTCTGGAGCGCAAACGAGCCCAGTTCTCCTCCAAGCAAGCATATGCTTTGCAAAGTGCCACAGGTTTTTTGGGTTGTTTCAAGCTGGCCCACCCACTTTGTCGTGAAGCTGAAATAAAGCGAGAAGAGCAAACATTGCAAGGGCTTTGCTGTTTTTCCCCTCTTGTGCCTTCAGACCGCAGTGCTCAAGGCAAGAAGGTGTCGCTCCCCACCCTCCGTTCC